AGAAAAGAAGAAAGATCAGAAATCAATAACCTAAGCTTCAATTTTTTTTTTTTTTTTTAATACGGAGGCTCCCTCTGTCGCCAGGCTGGAGCGCAGTGGCGTGATCTCGGCTCACTGCAATCTCCACCTCCTGGGTTCAAGTGATTCCCCTGCCTCAGCCTCCTGAGTAGCTGGGATTACAGGCACGTGCCACCACACCTGGCTAATTTTTTGTATTTCAGTAGAGACCAGGTTTCACCATGTTGGCCAGGATGGTCTCAATCTCCTGACCTCGTGATCCACTTGCCTCAGCCTCCCAAAGTGCTGGGATTGAAAGGACACAAAGACATACCCACCCCCCTTGCTCCCTATTGCTACACCCTTTGTTCTGCTTCCTTATCTCTGCACGTACCAGAGGTTTCGAAAGTTCTGTAAGTACCTGTTTTTCTTCCTGGGGCTAGGTCACAAGACATGTTTAAGTAAGATAAACTCATGCTGCCATAAACCGGTTGTGCAACCTGACGCAATATGATTAACTGCCTTTGTGCAGAAACTGCTCTTCCGTCTCAAAGGTTGAACTGAAATACCAGAAATGGCGGGAACCAATCATAGTTAGCCAAATCGCCTTGTTCAAACACCAGCCAATCATACATCTGATCTGTATAATGATTCTATGACCACTCTTCTTAGACTGCATAACACTGTTTAATGCTCTGTGGGGGAACTCTCTCTCTCTTGAACCTCTCATTTCGAGAGCGAGTAGGAGTTCCGGGTTCGAACCTGTAATAAAGATCCTTGCTGCTTAGCTTCGACTCTGGACTCTGGTGGTCTTCTTCGGGGAATAAACGGACTGGGCATAACAGGATTACAGGCATAAGCCACCATGCCCAGCCTAAGCTTCAATTTTAAGAAAGCAGAAAAAGGCTGGGTGCAGTGGCTCATGTGCTTTGGGAGGCTGAGGTGGGAGGATTGCTTGAGCTTAGCAGATAGAAGTTGCAGTGAGCTTTGATCATGCTGCTAGACTCCAGCCTGGGCAACAGAAATAGACCCTGTCTCCAAAAAAAAAAAAAAAAAAAAAAAAAAAAAAAAAAAAGACTTTGTCAGTCATCTAGTATATCTGGTGAAAATATCCTTCAAGCATGATTACTTGAGTCCAGGAGTTTGAGACTAGCCTGGGCAACACAGGGAGACCCTGTCTCTACAAAAAAAATTAAAAATTAGCTGGGTATGGTGGTGCACACCTGTAGTCCTAGCTACTTAGGAGGCTGAGGTGGGAAGGCTGCTTGAGCCCGCTGCAGATTGAAACTTGCAGTGACCGCAGATTGAGACTTGCAGTGAGCTGAGATCATGCCACTGCACTCCAGCCTGGGGACAGAATGAGATGCTATCTCAGAAAAAAAGAGGAGCAAACTAAACTCAAAGCATGCAAAAGAAAGAAAACAATAAAGAGGAAGGTGGAAATTATTGAAATAAAAAACAGAAACATAATAGAGAATATTAAATGAAATAAAAAGTTGTGGCCGTGTGTGGTGGCTCACGCCTGTAATCTCAGCACTTTGGGAGGCCGAGGTGGGTGGATCACGAGGTCAGGAGTTTGAGGCCAGTCTGGCAATATGGAGAAATCCTGTCTCTACTAAAAACCCAGAAATTAGCCAGGCATGGTAGCACGTGCCTGTAGTCCCAGCTACTTGGGAGGCTGAGGAAGAAGAATCACTTGAACCCGGGAGGCAGAGGTTGCAGTGAGCCAAGATTGTGGCACTGCACTCTAGCCTGGGCAACAGAGCAAGACTGTTTCAAAAAAAAAAGATCCATTTGTGACCTAATGTTAGTTTTACTGACCAAGAGAAAATAAGTAAATATCTAGAAAGACAAAAGTTACCAAAACTGACATTATAAATGAACTATCTGAGTAGTCCCAAAACAATTAAAGCAATTGAGCTAGTAATTTAAAATCCCCTACAAGGGAAAGGCTGGAATCAGATGGCTTCACTGGAGATTACAGAGCATTAAATAAAGGGAGAAAGTGACCCTCCCAAACTCTTTCAGGACAGTGGGGGAGGATGCTTCCTAACTCAGGAGTCCATCATCACCCTGGTACCAAAGCCACACAAAGGCACCAACGAAAACACTGTGGACCACAGCCCAGTGGGTGGCTCAGGCCTGTAGTCCCAGCAACTGGGGAGGCATGTGGGAGGATCGCTTGAGGCTGGGGGTTCAAGACCACTGGGCAACATAGTGAGACTCTGTCCTTTTAGAAAACTGCAGAGCAATATCCCTCACGAGTATAGGTGTAAAAATCTTTAAGTATTAGCGAACTGCATAGAGCAAGACAGTAAAAGGACCAAGTGGGATTTACCCCAGGAACCTAACACTGGTTCAGTGGTGGGAAAGCAGGTAATGAAATATGCTATATTAGGAGACTAGAAATAGGCCAGAGACATCTTTTTGAGGTAATGAAAATGTTCTAAAATTGAATCATGATGACGGTGGATTTAGTAAAAATCATTTTAATGGTACACTTGAAATAGCTGAATATTACTGTGTGAAAACTATACCACAATTAAGTTGTTACAAAAAGTCAGAGTGATTGGGAGAGGTGACTCTGGGCTGGAGAGGGCAGGGTAGGGCAGGGAGAGCACAGGGGTCCAAGGTATGGCGGGGACAGAGCTCCACACCAGCACCAGGGAGGCTGCCTCAGGCTCACGAGTGGCTGTGCACTGCTTCCTCCAGATGGCAGGGTTGCCCCAGTGAACACAGGGCGCCTGGGAAGGGACAGGACGTGGGGGGCGTGGAAGCAAACAGGGCGTGCGGGGCTTCTCTGGGTGCCTGGAGTGTATGGGGCTGGGTGTGGGGTGACCAGAGGCTCCGGGCACTGCTAACATGGGAGGCACTGGGCTTCGTGGCCACCCAGGGCATAAGGGGATCTAGGGCGCACGGGCGACCCGTGGGGCCTGGAGGGTCTGAGCTCACTGGGAGGCTACAGGTGTGGGGCGGGGGGGACACTGGGCGCACAGGGGGAGCATGTGGTGGGCAAGGGTGAGATGGGGAGGGTGCAGCATGCAAGATGGGCACTGGGGTGCAGGGGGCTCGAGGGCGCAGGGGGCACCGGGACGGTTGGATGCTGTACAGGTGGTGCTGGGCACCCTGCACGCAGCCCGCAGCACGACAATGTCCCGCAGCTCTCGGGACATTGTGGGCACTCCAAGGGTGGCCAGTTACTGTTAGGTGGGCACGGCAGGTGTGGATAACATGCAATGGGTGGCCTGCACAATGACCCTGTCTTTGGACCATGCTTGATGGTGCATTGGCGATGTACTGTGCAGACCCCCAGAGCTGGTCCCATTGCAGAGGGCCTAATCTCATTCATGAGGGCATCACCTTCATGAACTAATTATATCCCCAAAGCCCCATCTCCTCATAACATGAACTTGCGGTGAGGATTTCAACGTATGAATTTGGGGGAACATAAATATTTGGTCAACTGCAAGCTGTACACAGTGGGGCTCCCTGACAGTGCAGGACACAGTTGTTCAGGCCGTTCACTGTCACCCCTTCTGAGAGACCAGCTCCCTGCTCAGGGTCCTGCATGTTCCGTCATCTCTCCACTGCCTGGAAGCATGGGTGACACCCACAGGGCCCCAGCAGTCAGCTGGGGGACATCTGGAAAGATGAGTCATGAAGTCTGCCCTTCTCTTATGGAATGTGCAGCTTTATTTCAAAGCTATGGCCAGAACTATCCTGGGTGCACCCTGTGGTCTCACCCACAAGGCTGCCCCCGGCTGTTACCACCAGCCAGAGGGGCTCTTCGCTTTCTTTGCTGAGGTGTGCGGTCCTTATGTGGAGCTGCTGAAGGAATTTTTTTTTTTTTTTTTTTGAGATAACCTGGTAAATGTTTCCTGTGTTCCACTGTGCTTCATTACAGTCTCCTGAAGATCATTTATTTAGTCATTCTCCCACTCTTGTCTTTTTTTTGGTAGGGGGATGGGTGGCATTATACAATACCACATTGAACAAGATCAGCAATTTTGAGGCAGCTGCCTCACTCCAGGAGGCACAAATGTAGCAGCTGGAGTCTTCAATTGGAGGGAAGCCCTGGACACGGCCACCCGGAAACAGGCTATGGCAATACTCATCCCATCAGGCCTGGTGGCTCAGCCTGAAATCCCAGCACTTTGGAGGCCAAGGCGGGTAGATCGCTTGAGCCCAGGAGTTTGAGACTAGCCTGGGCAATAGTGAGATTCCCACCTCTCCAAAAAAAAAAAAAAAAAATTAGCTGGGTGTGGTGGTGTACGCCTGTGGTCCCAGCTACTTGGCAGGCTGAGGCAGGAGGATCTCTTGAGCCCAGGAGTTCAATACCAGCTTGCATAACATGGCAAAACCCCATCTTTACAAAAATTAGCTGGGCATGGCCCCATCTGTAGTGTGCGCCTGTAGTCCCAGCTACCCGAAAGGCTGAGGTGTGAGGATCACCTGAGCCTGGGAGGTCGAGGCTGCAGTGAGTGAGCTGTGGTTGCACCACTGCACTCCAGCCTGCGTGACCCTGTCTCAAAAAACAACAAACAAAAACTCCACCCCAACACAGAGAAACGCCCAGACTCCTGGGTTCCACTCAGACTTCTCTTTGTTGCAGCCGAATGAAACTGCTGATCTTGTTCAACATGGTATTACATAATGCCCCCCCCAGGACCCTGCCAAAAAAAATACAAGAATGGGAGAATGACTGAATAAATGATATTCAGGAGACTGTACTCATTAAGCACAATGGAACACAGTTAACATTTACCAGGATAGCTCAAAAAAACATTCCTGCAATAGCTCCACATAAGGAACATATATACTGAGCAAAGAAAGCAGAGCACCCATCTGTGCCTGGGTGTGGGAAGTGGCTGCCCGTCCCAGCCCCTACTCTGCCTGAGCTTCCTGCCTGCCCCATCAACAGACTCCCTGGGGCTCTGCCCTCTGCTGGGCACAGTGGGGCACCCGCTATTGTCCCTGGACTAAGCAGGCACCAGCAGGATGACTTGTAGACAACAGCCAAAGTTTATTTAACGTGGGAATGCTTACAATAAATAAAGCAGAGGGGTAAAGAGAAGCAGAACAGTACCTTGAGGACAAAGGAACCCCAAACCCAACACAAAAATCAACTCGTGTCTTCTGCTATATGCCCTGGGCTCTGGGCAGCCACTGCTCCTCCCCAGGGTAGGGAGACTGCAAGGCTGGTGGCCAGCAGTGCACATCCCCAAGCAGCAGCTGGGACCCTGGGTCCAGAGGGGCCATTGGAGACCTAGGAAGTCTTTGCAAGGGCAAAACCCAATGGCGACATGCCCATGAAAGCTTCAAGTCACAACGTGGGCCTGCAGAAGACATTTCTGGGCTGTGCTGTCTCCTCTAGGCCCACACACCTGCTGAACAGACATCTGTACCCGGGCACCTCCCAGAAGCCTCTTTATTCTGGGACATCTACTCTCGGTTCCTGTCCTCACTGGCCCCTCCCATCATCTGAAGACTCTTATGACGTCTGCCTCCTAATTCTTCCAGAGCGGCCACACCCTGGACTGTGACGGGCTCTCACCCACTGTGGGGTCACAGACAGGCATGGGGCTGGCTCCCATCCTGGCAGCCTCCCCCAGCATCTTCAGAGGTGGGGTGCACAGTAGTTTTGGGGGGCTGGCAAAGCTGCAGGAACTGTGCAGCTTAGGCGGACCCTGGATTCTACAAGCCCCAGTGGAGCTTTCTTGGCTTCTGGAACCACAGGTCAGAGCTGCTGGGGCGATGGGGCTCCCAGCTTTGGTAAGGGCTGTTGGCATTAAGCAGCACCCGGTGGCTGGAGGGGTCTCCCAAGGAGGACAGAGCCTGCCCCATACCCTCCTGCAGTTTCCTGGAGTGCCAGAATTGGGCTTCTCCCACGCAGGCTCAGAAAGGCACTAGGAGTTCCTCCTCTTGCTCAAAGGACACACTCCCTCCTCCCAGGTCCTCCAAGTGGACAAAACACTCAGTGGCCTGGAGGGGCAGGAGAGGCAACAGGACTCCTCCAGGAAGGCCCGAGTCACTGGGGAGCCAGGGTGTCCCCGGACCCACCTTTCGGCCGGCAGATAGTCATCGGGGTTGGGCTGCTGGACAGGGGCGAGAAGAGGGGCCGCAGCGTCCCGGAGAAGGGGATCTCAGGGAAGATGAATAGCAGCGACCCATCGGTGGCGCTGTAGAACGAGAGATGTCTGGCCTCGTAGTCCAGAAAGATCCCCACACGCCTGGGTGGGTCCCGGAGTGGAGCCAAGGCCCGTTCAGAGGAATTGTAATAGCTCCCCAGGAAGACCAGGATCCAGAAGCCGTTGCCCGCGGATAGTTCGCCCTTCTCCTTCCTGTTCACATTCTCCCTGCATACCCCCAGGGCCCAGCTGGTGCGGTCCCCAACCTCCACCTCCCAGTAGTGGCGGCCTGAGGTGAAACGCTCCTGGCCCAGCACGCAGGGGCCGGGGTCAAAGCGCTCCGGACTGTCCGGCAGGGCCTGCCGCAGGTCCCCCCGCTGCACGCTCCGCCTGTCTTCAGACAGGATCAGCTCAGGGTTGGCGGTATCCGGGTCCAAGGTCACATCCCCTGGAGAGAGAGACCCAAGGTCACCCAGGCACAGACACAGACAAGCTGGGGCCACCTGCCCATGTCCTGGGCATGTGGGTATGATGATCCTCCCAGTCGGACGGCCTGGCTGTCTGCCCCGGGGTCCTGCAGCCTCACGACCTCCTGGAGTAACTGTCTCCAAGTGGACATCCCCTCCCTCCCCACCTAGCCACGTCCAACTGCAACTTACAATATCCTAGAAATTGGTCCATGTTTTGCCTTCAGAAATCAAGAGGGAATCTTGGTTGCTTTCTTTTTTGTTTGTTTTCTAAAGAGGCAGGGTCTCCAGGCTGCAGTGCAGTGGTGCGATCATGGTTCACTGCAGCCTTGATCTCCTGGGCTCAAATGATCCTCCTGCCTCAGCCTCCCAAGCTGCTGGGATTACAGGCATGTGCCACCATGGCTGGCTAATGTTTTTGTTTTTTATTTGTAGAGATGGGACTCTTGCTATGTTTCCTGGGCTGATGTTGAACTGCTGGCCTCAAGCAATCCTCCCACCTGAGCCTCTCAAATCGCTGGGATTACAGAGGTAAGCCAATGCATCCAGCCCGATTTTTCTTTCAATCTCCAAATGAAGGATGTGAATAAATGCAGCTGTCCCAACCCTGACCACTCCCAGATTTCAGATCTATCCGCCTCTGGAGGCCTGCACACAGTTCCTACACAACAGGCTCCTGACCTGCTAGCAAGGGCTGAGGACAGTACTTCCTTTGGGTGACTGTGATACAAGAATCAGATTTGGGTTTTGTCCCCAGTTCCTGGCAGAGCTCATAGAACCCTGGGAATATCCTGAGTGATAGGAGCATCTAGTGTTATCATAAGACGCCCCTTTCCAACACACCTTAGTTGATGCCACTGCAGTGGCTGAGGTAGGGACCTGAGAGAGCCCAGCATAGGGTCAGCCACCAGAAAGACCAATCCTGTCAGTAGAGGGTGGGAATGCTCAGCCCCAGCCCCTGACCTCAGGAAGGGGAAAGGGGTCTGAGGTTGAGCCCCATCACTGATGACCAATGATTTTATCAATGATAACTGGAACCTCCACAAAGACACCTAAACAGTTCTTGGGACTCGGGGAGTTTCCAGGTTGGTGAACACACTGGGGTGCTGGGAGGGTGCACCCACGGAGAGCGGGGAAGCACTGTGCTCTTTCCCAGGCTTTGTCCATGTGTCTCTTCCATTTGGCTCTTCTAGAGTGGTATCCTTCACAACAAACCAGTGACAGTAAGTGAAATGCTCTCCTGAGTTCCGTGGGCTGTGCTAGCGAATGCTCACATCTGCAGAGGGGCTGAGGGAACAGAAGTATGGGCAGCCCCTGGAAGTTGTGACTGGCATCTGAAGTGAGTTCCATTCAATGCTGAATGGAATCCTTTGATACCCAATTCATTTCCAAACGGTGAAGAATTGTTTGGTGTGAAAATACCCACAAACGTGATGTCAGAAGTATGAGCAGAGGACATTTTCCCAACAACCCACCACCATGACACTGTGAGTTTGGAGCTGGCAGTGGAGGGGCAGAGAACACATGGCTAACTGCCCAGGTCCTTCGCGGGTACCCTCCTGGAGTCATCTCCCCACCTAGGGCCTCCACACCCACCTCGAAACCTCCGCAGTGTCTCCACCAGCCCCGGGACCCTGCACACGGTCCTCAGCTCCATGGGCACAACTTCTGGGGGCTGCAGCTTCACATCCTGGACCCTAGAGGGGACAACCCAGATGTCATTGCCATGGCCAATAGTTGGGTCCCACCTCACTCCCACCCCCTCCAGGAAAGGCTGGGCTCGTACCTGCGCAGGGCGTCCTTGATGTCCTATGTGGGGAGGAGAAACAGCACACTCCATGTCAGTGATCATCGCCTGCTCCCGGAGTCCCCACCCAGCCCCTGGAGCCTCACCCCGTCCCCCTCTCCTACATTTGAGCCTCAGGCAGCAAAAACACACACAGGGGGCCATAAACCACCCGCAGCAAGGCTCACAGACAGGAATGCTGGACAGAGGCTCCAGCATATGTGCCAGGAGGCATCACCAATGGGGTGCAGTCCAGTCCTGCGGACTGAGACCCACTTCTGCCTAACACTTGGATGTAGGGCATCTGGCTGTCAGCTCACTCCCCCAGAGCCCCAAGTGGGCACCCCTGGGTGCCAAGGACAGGACAGGCAAGCATCCCAGCCTTCAGTGTAGGGGCGCCTTCACCCCAGCCGGAGCCCAACCCCGCAGTCCCACTGCTCCCTCTCCCAGCTCCGCCTGCCCTGCGGGCTCCCTGCTCAGCCCTACACCTGGGTGTGCCTTCTTCCTGTGTCACTCCCTGATACATGACAGCATCTGACTCCGTGTTAGGGCCCGAATTGTGTCTATCCCACCAAACCCGTATGTTGAAGCCAGAAACTTCAAGACCTCAGAACTTGACTATTAGAAAAAAGGACTTTTAAAGAGGAAATCATAGTAAAATAAGGCCATGAGGGTGGGCTTTAATCCAACATAACTTGTGTCTCATAAGAAGAGGTGACTAGGGCATAGACACCCACAGAGGGGAGACCCTGTGAGGATACAGGGAAGAAAAGGCATCTATAAGCCCAAGAGAGAGGCCTCAGGGGGAACCAGCTTTGACCTCAGTCTTTCAGCGTGCAGGACTAGGAGACAATCAGTCTCTGCGGGGGAAGCCTCCTGGCAGGTGGTACTCAATGTGGCAGCCCGAGCTGGCGTGATACACCCAAGTATTGGAACATCAGCTCCTAGGAGGTATGGTCTTGTATCTCTTAGAGCAGCCTTCAGTTCACTGCAGGGATTTAACCCACACTGTCAAATAGATGACCCACACCATGTTCATTCTAACACACGTGGTGCCAGCTACCAGGCCAGGATGCAGAGGTCAGTAAGACATAATCCCAGACAAGGGTTTCCCTGCATATAGGAGAAACGGCAAAGGAAGATTTCCACATATACAGGTAGTTAATTCTGTCTAGGGGGACAACAACACCCTCAAGGCCCCAAAAAATTTTTAATAAGGAAGCCAGCACTTTGGGAGGCCAAGGCAGGTGGATCACTTGAGTCCAGAAGTTCAAGACCAGCCATAGCAAGATAGCAAGATCCCATCTCTAAAAAAAAATTTTAAAAATTAGCTGGGCTTAGTGGTATGTGTCTACTGTCCCATCTACTCAGGAGGCTGAGGTGGGAGGATTGCTTGAGCCCAGGACATTGAGACTGCAGTAAGTCATAATCACATCACTGTACCCCAGCCTGGGTGACAGAGTGAGACCCTGTCTCAATAAATAATTCATAAATAAATAAAGAGGAGACTATTGGTAGGGTTCTGGAGCCCAAGAGGAATTTGTTGGTAGACAGAGGGGAAGTGTGCAGGATGAGGGAGGGGTGTGCACAGGGTAAGGGCAGATGGTGCCGGTGTGAGCAAGGCAGCTAGGAGCAGCTCCACCTTGGTTATTCTACCTGGGGTGGGTGGCCCACCCCTGGTGTCATTTGGAGACAGGTGGTGGCTGTCACAAGGCCGGGTGCAGGGGCAGCAGGAGAAGGGCTTGGGGGTGGAGGAGAACCTTGGCCTCGACGAGGGGGTTTGGTCTCTGCACAGAACATGGGCCCTCCAGGCGCAGCATTGACTTGAACAAAATCACTCTGCGGCTACAAGCAGGGCCTGCTGAAGGGGGCAGCCAGGACCCCAGAGTCCACAGCAGCCAGAGCCCCAGTGGGTAGATTCCTGGGAGTCACTCAAGCCCTTACCTCCACTGTGCAATCTCTGTCCATTGGGCCTGGGTACTGGGAACCCGGGTTGGGTCCCCCAACCCAACTGGGGGCCAAGGGTGCAAAGCCACCCCCACCTCTCCCTCTCAAATCAGCACACAGCTCACACCAACACACAGTTGCTGGGGCTGCTCTCCTGCAACCCCCATGTGGGCAGACCCCCACAGCATGCAGACCAGGCCAGCTCTGTGCTGGCAGGTTTGGGGGGCAGGAGGGACCTCCCTGAAGCCTTGCAGCCAGGCCAAACCTGGGCAGGGAGCTTGGTCAAGGCATGGACAGGTGGGCCACTCAGCAGGGTGAATGCAGGTGGGCGTATGAGACCCAACAGCCACCCACCCACATGTCACAACGTCTCGGCCAAAAGCCCAAATCGCATCTTCACACAGACCCTATGGGTCCCCATTTCCAGGTCAACTCACCTTCCTTCTAAACCCTTCCTGGCTTCTCCAACACCTGTCCTCTCTGCCCTCCCTGAGGGCTCCTCCTCAGTCTCCTGGGTAACTCCCCACCCCACAATTTTCTGACCACAGGACCCTCTCCTTATTCCTCAGTCTTCCTACAGACGCTAGCTGAGTGTCCTTCCCGCTTCCCAGGCTCAAAGCCAGTTGATGTACAAGCTGGTGCACGCAGCACACAGAGTGGAGGGGCGGATGCTACAGACTCAGAGGTAGGACGTGGGAGGTGGGGGCAACTACCTACTGGGTACAATGTGCACCATACGGGGATGGCTACACTCTGACTACACTTGTACCCCTTAAATCTACAAAAATAATTTAAATATATATATATACAGAAAAAAGCTTACGATAGAAATGACAAACGAAACCAGGAGTTGGTGCCTGGACTGATGTTCTGCTGGGCTCCAGAGGCCGGCAGCAGGTCATCCCCTGTGCAAAGCTGCCCAGCCACATCAGCAGCATTGTAGGCTCCACCTGAGTCTGACAGCCCTGCCCCACCAGTGGCCGAATTCACTCACACAAGACTTCTCTCCTCTGTGGGAGCCAGAACTGCCTAGGGGCCTGTTTCCCTCTGAATCTTGGGGCCCCTTGGCTCTACAACATGCTGGGCATGGAACACGTTTTCCATTTTGTGGGACAAACGTCCAGCTGAACCCCACGGGAAGATGACAGCAGACACTCCCAGCCCACATGGGGCCTCTCAGCATGGGAGTGCCGTCAGTCCTCATCAGTGCACGCTTGCCGAAGGGGGAGAGCTAACTCTAGGCCGCCTGACCCGCCGCCAGGCCAGAGGCCAGGGCATCCACTGGTTCTGATTTGGGGGCACACCAAGGAAAGTCCAGGCCCAGGGGGCCGGCTGAGGTAGTGGAGCCCACACATGGGGAAAGACTCTCCCAGAAGCAGAGGAGGAGGAGACACCACCCCTGATAATGGATATGCATGGGGTGTGCCAGCGGGGCGAAGACAGAGTGAAGGGAGAGGACTTCCTGCTGGGGACACCATGGCGGGAGTTCTATGGGAGGCCCAAGGTGGTCCCGGCAAGCACACACCCACTGTGCTGTGCCTACAGGGAGCAGCAGCATCAGTCAGGCCGAGATGGAGTAACCTTACATAAGCACTTAAGAAACACCACCTGTTTACATCTACAGAGGACAATCAATCTTCCCTTTTTCAGCACATGGATTTTGGGGGTAGGACGGGTGGGACATCTGTCCTGACTCAGCGTTTCACAGGCAAGAGCCGGGCACATCCAGCCATGCCATTAACCTCTTAGCCCAGACAACCTCTGCCCCTGCTTCTTGCACTTTCTGGTTCTCCCTCCCCCAGTGTGGTCAGGCCATGCCCGTGTGGCCACCATGGCTGCTCCCCGCCCAGCTCACCTGCAGCAGCCCCAGCACAGGTTGCTCCCCATCCAGCTCACCTGAAGCAGCCCCAGCGCAGGCAGCTGGCAGCGGCCCTCGAGCTCGGCGATGAGCTCAGCTAGGTGGGCGGTCTGCTGGCCTAGGCGGGCTGCACCCTCTCGCAGCCGGGGCAGCACCTCCAGCTCCTCCTCCTCCAGCCTCTGCAGCAGCTGCTGCTCCTCCTCTGCCAGCAAACGGCGAAGACGTTCGAACTCACCCAGCACGTTCTGCCGCTGGCTCTCCACCATCTTCTGTGGGGCCCAGGGAGAAGGACAGCTGAAGCCAGACTCCAGGCCCAGCCGGACCCCAAGTCTGGTCAGACCCCAAGCCCACCCCAAGGCCGGGCCACACCCAACCTCCCCCCCGGGGCCTGCTAAACCCCAAGCACAGCCCCAGGTATGGCAGGATCCCAAACCTACCACCTGGTGCCGGCCAGACCCCAAACCCACCTGTGGCACCTCCTAAACCCCAAATCCACCACTCAGGGATAGCCAAATCCCATTCTACCACGCAGGATTAGCTAGACCCCAAATCTAAACCCCAGGGCCGGCTAGATCCCAAATCCACTACCTAGTCCCTCCCCAACTTCCAAATCCACCCATTGGCTTGGTAGAACCCTGCATCTACCAGCTGGGGCCAGCTGGACCCCAAATCTACCACCCAGGTCCCTCCTGACCTCCAAATTCTCCCCTGGGACTGCCCAGATCCCAAATCCACCACCTAGGGCCTCCTAGGTGATTTGGGTAGACCCCAAATCTACCCCAGAACTGGACAGATCCCAAATCTACTCCTCGGGATGGCTGAATCCCACATCTATGACCTAGTCCCTCAAAACCTGCAAATTCATCTCCAGGGCCCAGACCCTAAATCCACCTGAGAGTTGCCACCCAAGCATGCTGGGACCCTAGGATGGGGCCCTTGCGGTATGGGAGCCCACGCCCGCGACCTGGCAGCACAGGTGCACATGGGGAAGGACCAGCCCTTCAGTGGGCTCAGTGGGGCCAGGCTGAAGCAGTGACTGGTCCTGGGGCACCAAGGGCAAGTGTGCCTGGCCAGCATTGCCCCCTGGGGTCTCCTATACAGGACCTTAACCCCCTGCCCTGCCACCCAGAATCGTGGAAGCCCCAGCACCTGCCTGCCACAAGACGCAGGTCTCATCCGCCTGGGCTTGGAAGAGCAACGCATCCTGCATCTGCTTCCGGAGATGCTCCAGTGACTTCTCCAGCTTTGCCTGTGGGAGAGGCCAGGCAGGGCCATGAGACATCGGTCCTGTCACAGAAGCTTGCCCTTTTGCACCTGACACACTGTCCTGAGTTCCTCCTCAGAGACAATGGGGACAAACTGAAATCTGCCTGGTGAATGAGGGAACTCAATGCCCTCCAATGAGCGTGAGCCCTCATGGTAGGTGGGCAGCCTCTTGCCAGAGGCTGACAGCCCCAGCCACATTCTTTCCTTTTTCTCATATGAGATGTGTTTCTAGACCTTGACCTTGCTACCCTACCCCAGGCCTCACCCCCCTTTGCAAAGCTACCTCAAGGGTTCTGGCTGCCCACTCCATCTGTCCCCAAGCTGGCTCTGAAGGTGTCGAGCTCTCCTGTTCCCAAGCCAGTGTCTCCTCCTCCTCTCCCTTCTCACCTACCAGCTCACATAAGGGCCTTGGGCTAAGCCTATGCTGGGGTCCAAAAATTCTGCCCCATGTCCCCATAATTTCATAGGTTGAAATCCCAACTCCCAGGGTGATGATATTAGGAGACAGGGGTTTTGGGAGGTGACTAGGTCAGGAGGGCAATGCCACCATGATGGGATTAGTGTTATAAAGGAACTCTCGCCCCTTTCACCATGTGAAGACATAGTGAGAGGGCATTGTCTGTGAACCAGGAAGCGCCCTCAGCAGACACCAAACCTGCCAGGGCTTGATCTTAGACTTCTAGCCTCCAGAGCTATGAGTAGTATACATCTGCCATGTGCAAGCCATGGTGTTTTGGTAGGACAGTCAGCAGGGACAAAGATGCCTGGCTGCCCACCCCATCTTTTCTCTAAGCCACCTGGGATCTTGTGCATTTTCAGCTTCATCAGCTATCACTGTAATAAGCCCCAGGACGGGTACACTTGCATTCTGCTTTCTTGGTCCTTAATTCTCATTCCCACGGTTCCTCATGAGGTGCATACCAGGAAGCAGTGAGAATCCTATACACAAGCTCGCTGTACTGTGTGTGCTTGGGGTGCCCTGAACCCACTTCGCGAAGGGTCTGCTCACTTCCACCCCATCTGACACCCTTATCAGCAACAGGCCCTGTGCTGGCCACACCTCTTTGCTTCTCAGTCACCCCAAGTCATGGCTCTCATCTCTCTCTATCCACGCTCTGGAAGGATGGAGGTGCTGGGAGGATCCACAAGTCTGCCCAGGTAGCAGAGCCAGGACATGGGCCCAGCTGCCTGGCTCCAGGTGCTCACTTTGGTTCACCACCTAGCCTCGCGATTCGAGAATACTGCTTGGCACCTCCGGAGCACTAAGGACATGTCCAACTGCTTTATTGTCTCTGCCTAGGCTTAGCTCTCATGTGAGCTACAAGAACCCCAAATGGGGGTCCCTGTCCCCCCGCCTCTCTCTTCACTGCTACCGGCCTGTTCCAGAAAACTCACGCCTGGCCCCTGTGACCCCCAACCCTACCTCAAACACTTGGCCCAGTGCCTCTCAACTTCTCCCTCAATGCCTCAGTCCCTATGTGACATTTTCAGTTTTTGTTTTTGTTTTTGAGATGGAGTCTTGCTCTGTCCCCCAAGCTGGAGTGCAGTGGCACTATCTCGGCTCACTGAAACCTCTGCCTCCTGCGTTCAAGTGATTCTTCTGCCTCAGCCTCCTGAGTAGCTGGGATTACAGGTGCCTGACACCACACCCAGCTAATTTTTGTATTTTTTTTAGAGATGGGATTTTGCCATGTTGGCCAGCGTGGTCTCAAACTCCTGACCTCAAGTGATCCACCCACCTCGGCCTCCCAAATTGCTGGGATTATAGGCGTGAGCCACCACACCTAGCCAACATTTTCAGTTTTCAACACTAAAGTTACAAACAGCATTTGATCAGATGGAATGGGCTGTAAAGCAGCACAAGGTACTCAGCATGGCAAAGATCTTGCATTTCAGGTACCTGCATCTTTGCGTCTCTGGACAGATTAGAACAGAAACCTCTTACCCTGTGTGTAGTCAGAACTGGGACGCTGGGGCTTGGTGCAGGCCTGGGATCTTCCCTGGCCTCCTCCTTCCTGTGGCAAACCCCCTCCCCACCCAAGTGCCATCTGATACACAACCCAGAGAGATCTGGGGGCCGTCTTCTCTTTCCTATGATGCTGCTTCCTGGAACTGGATCTTACGGGGACTTTCCTGTTTACCACCTCGGGGCAACCCAGCCTGGGGCTTGTTCACCTGTCATGACCCCATGTCAGGGCCAGGCAAGGAGTGAACTTATCATAGAGCTAACGGGCCCCAACTCTGGCAAGTGGACACACAGCCCCATAGGTGGGACTGAGCTTTCTAGGCCTATGGGGGCAGGTAAAACCAGTTTCCTACGGTTAACATAGCATAGGCCCTAAAGCAGTGAAGAGGAACAGGATATGTCATCCCCAAATATACCGCTGTGGTATAAGGATTATTCTGAGTAAAAGCAGATGCAGGAAGAGCTCTCTGTACTCCTATCTGCCTAGAAGTAGGGTATTCATTCCCCATGAGAAAGGCACCCTCCCTCCACTAGGAAGAGGAGGGCACTCTAATCCTGGGAGATGATTCTGCCTAAACAGACCTTACTACAATGACCATTATCTTGTGTTAGTTCTTCCCATCTATTTCCTAGTCACTTTCCCACAATTTATCAGTCCTAGACGCCGAATCCTGTGTCCAGTCACTTCTCCACAATTTACAAACCTTTGCTGAAATACACTTTTCTATGAAGTTCTTGTGCATGTAAAACTTAAAATATTAATCAAACTGTATGATTTTTTTTTCCTGTTAATTTGTCTTGTGCCAGTTTAATTTGCAGCCCCCAGCCACTGAACCTAACAGGGTAGATGGAAATTTTTTCTTCACCTGCAAAAGAAACGGTTAAGTGCTATCCCATGAAACTATATCAGATCAACTCTACAGAGCTACTGGGCACTCTCTGCACCCATTGGGATAATTGGTGTCAGAAGGGTAATTCTGCTGGGCTAACATGTTTGAGGTGTAGACATTCCTGCACGGGCAAAAAACGAAAAGAAAACCCACAAGAACCTGTGTTTGGACAAGCCCGCGGATATGGCTTTAAACCACCTTTCTGCTAAAATCCAAAGCAGAAGGGGACAGATTCAGATTTATTCTAGTATCCCAGAAGTTTTCTCTGTGATAGGGACAGACCCAGCTCAGTACTAACACTGGCTTAACTGCTAATCTGGCACACACAAGTGACCATGGTGCAACACACAAAGTGCAATCAAGAAAGCTCCAAAGATGCTGCCATCTACCCCACACGTGGGCTCCCAGGAGCACACCCACAGCAGGTCAGCCAGGAAAGTACCGCGGGAGGGAGTGCAGGCCAGAAGAACGTGTGCCCCAGGCCCTTCAGCTTGGGGTTTGTTTGGGTTTTAAGCAGCAAAATAAGGGAAGAAGAGGCGGGCTGAGCCCTGGCATCTCAGATGGCAGAGATGGCTCCCAGTACCCCACCCCGAAATGCAGGGCAGCCCTGGAGGGGAGGTTAGAGAGGAAACGACTGTGTCCCCTCATCCTGCTCAGTCTGGGGCTTTCCCAGGACTTAAGTACTGACCTGATAACACAGTCCCTGCAAGGAGTCCATCTAGGATCGTCCACCTCTGAGGTTCTCCCACTTTCCTCTGATCCCGGCTCCTTTCTGGCCAGTGTATGGCCACATTTTCCTTGCCCCCACTCCACCACCTTCCACCTTCCTCTCTTAGCCTCTATCTATGGGAGGTACGCCCCTCACCCCCGAGAGCAGGGTCTCATTGGCGGCCATGGCTCCAGCCTCACGGGGCCTGCTTGAGACAGGCTGTCATGGGCCCCCACAGCTGCCTTGCGCGATACCCTCCTCACCGGCCCAGGGCAGGCTGCATCCTGAGCTCCCCGCCCTAGACAGAGACAGATTACGCCCGGAGCAGTCCCGAAACCTCCCACCCGCCCAGGCCTCCCCAGTCCCCGGCTCCCCCCGATGCTCCTGCGCGCCACCCCCGCCCAGGCGCACCTTGAGGTCTTCGGCCGCATCCTGCAGCGGCCGCACGCGATGCGCCCAGTGCTCCCCTGACCGCTCACAGGCCGCGCACAGGAGGCGCAGCTCGTCCCCACAGAAGGCGGCCAGTGGCTCGCGGTGCGCGGGACACACGCCTTGCGGGACCGGCGACGGCGGGTGCAGGCGCCGCGCCATCTCGGCCATCTTGGCAAGCGGGCGGTTGGGCCGCAGGTTCCTCTGCGGGGACAGCTCGCGGCACTCGGGACACGCGTACGGGCCCTCGGGCTGGCCCCAGCAGCGCCGGATGCACTCGCGGCAGAAGTTGTGGCCGCAGTCGGTCATCACCGGATCCGTGAAGTAGTCGAGGCAGATGGCGCAGGTGGCCTCCTCCTGGAGGTTGGTGGACAGGTCGGGGGCGGCCATGGTGCGGACCGAGGGGAGGAAGGCGGTACTGTCCGTGGGGCGGCGGCGGGGAGACTCGGGAGCTCGCGGAGACGCGGGGTAACCGGGTGCGGTGGCGCAGGCGCGGGCACTCCGGGACGCGAGGCTTGGGACTCCCGGGTGCTCGGGCTCCGGGGCACAGGGACTCCAGGGCGCAGGACTCCGGATTTCGGTAGCGCTGGGCGCGTAAGCTCCGGGTGCTCGGGGAACGCGGGACGTAGGGATCCCGGATGCCGGCAGGAAGAGGAGCCGAGGCGGAAGCAGGAAGCGACTGGGTGGGTTTTTTTTTTTTTTGGAACAACCCGCTTTTGCCTCCGATTGGCCGCTGCTCGTCACGCGGCCCGCAGGCGGGATGGAATTGGAGAGCGTACACTTGCTGACTTGGCGTCCCCACCGCTCCGGTTCCTGTGGCGAGGTCTTTACCCGTGCCCTGGGGAGGAATGAGGCGCAGGGGAGGGATGGGGACAGGGGGCGGATAGGGGCAGGGGGCGGGGCGCAGGGGAGGGATGGAGCAGGGGGCGGGGCAAGGAGAAGGGATAGGGCACACAGAATGGGCTATCCGGGAGAGATGGGGCAGGGGGCGGAGCTAGGAAGGATGGGGGCTCAGGGCGGGGCACACGGAAGCAACTGCAAGGACTAAGGGAGCCCGCAGCCTGGGGCATTGGAGCCCCTCGCCATACCCCTAGTGCGTCCTCAGCCCTCAGCCTGTGCTTCCTAGGGCGGGTATCCTCGGAAGGCCCAGCCCTCACAGCCTTGGCAGGCCAAGGTCAGAATGATTGGAGTTGGGGGATGCGACGGGGGCATCTCTCCAGGACCTCCAGGAGGCCCACATTCTCTCTGCGGGAACCACTCCGAAGGGGCACGCTGTTACAGGCAGCCCCTCGCGCAGACACTCTGGCCTTGTCAAGGTAGGAGTACACTGACTCCGGAATTCTGCCGCGCTAGTGCTTGACCCTGCAGGGGTGGGTGGGGAGTTCCTTGGAAAAGGGAAGGGCGTTGTGGAAAGGAGGCCCCTACATAAATCCTAACCTCTTTGGGATTTTGCCCCTGCTCGTGCAGCTTCGGGGGTCGAAAGGGATGGCAGTGGGAAGCTCTGAGGCTTTTTAGGGGTTCAGCCTTTCCCATTTTCCCCCTTCGAAGGACCCAATAGGATGCATAGGACATTTCCATGGGCAACCTCGGACCATCCCTGACAGAGCAACCTAACCAACCCCGCTCCTCCCCCCCATAGGATATTTCTGCTTTTTTGACAGAGTAACCTAAACCCCTGGGGGCGGCTGGGAGCCACAGATTTGTGCCATTCCAAAGTGGGGGCGGGGGCATGGCTAAAGAAAACGTGACCATGCTGTTCCTGGTGTATAGATATGGATTTAGAAATGGTCCACTCAGAATGCAGGGGCTTTCAAAAGTTTCCTCTAGGAAGCATCTGTCAATATATACCCTCTTAATGTTTGACAGTTTTAATCACAATTATATTTAGACTTTGAGAAACCCCCCTGCATGTCTAATGGCTGCCAGCCTGATGCCAGAGAACCCTGGTAGGTGGCCTGCAGTAAGCAGAAGGCCCACACCTTCTGCAGAGCCAAGGGCAATGCCCGAGTTCCCCGGCCTGTATCTCTATCCCTTCACCCACATGGTCACTGTGGAGATGACCATCTGACCAGACTTCGGAGCCCCTAGGCAGAAGAAAGGCTGCAGGGGGCCCGGGAAGGTAGCCTGGGAGTAGGTGTGCAGGTGGGATCCATCGCTCACGCTGTAGAATGACACCTCCCCGGCCTCGAAGTCCAGGAAGACGCCCACATGGCTGGGAGGCTCCATCAGCATAACCGGGATTGGGGCAGACAAGGTGGATAAGTACTTGGTTCCCTTGGACAGCTGCACCACCCAGAAGCCATTTTCGGGGCACTTGGGGACCCTGTCTTTCCTGCTCACGTTGTCTCTGCACACACCCAGGGCCCACAGCGCGTCCCCGGTGATGTTCATGCCCACCTCCCAGTAGTGCCTTCCAGAGGAGAAGGTCGTCTGGCCCACAGCACAGGGGTAAGCCATGAATCGGTCCTTGCTGCAGAACCTGCTGCCCTCCAGCGAAGAGCCGAGGTAGCGCCTCTGGCGGCTCTCGTACAGGAGAAGGTAAGGGTATGCGGAGGTGGCATCAGGCACCACATCCTCTGTAGATGGGCGTGGCAGCGGAGAGATGGGGAAAGGTGTGGGGCATTCAGGGTCAACAGTGGGAGCGCCCGGGCCCTAGTGGTGGATGTGGCCAAATGGTCCCCTAACTCAGAGGCCTCCCCTGCTGTGAATCTGGGGTTACTTGATGCTTCCACACCCCAACTGTGTGTGGGTATTGGTGGCAATAAGGTAGAGGGGGCTGGGCAGAGGGACCACTGGGAACTCAACAAGCTTCAGCCCATGAATTAGAACCACCGGTAACACCGCCCTACGAAGGCACAGTGAATAGCCAGTCACCGTCACCAGGCAGTGCACTTGCAGACCCCCCCCCCCATTGATGGCTTCCGAGGCTGGGGGGTGCAGTGGGGCATCGCCAAGAGATCCTGGGTCAGAGGTCCCGGCCCTGGGTGCCCACTTACCTAGAAAGCCTCTTAGCACTTCAATCTGTCCAGGAACCCTGCACACAGTCCTGGGTCTGGTTGGAGGGGCAACCTCTGGGCACTGCACACTCACGTTGTTCTTCCTCCAGTGGGCACAGTCTTATTGACTCCTCTCGTCCCACAATCTTATTGTCCCCTCTGGCCCACCACTGCCACTGCCCCCACCCCCGCCTGAGGGGACCACATACCTGCTCAGGGGTTCCTTCATGTCCTGCAAAAGACAGGGACAGAGGGTAGGGAGTGAGCCAAGCTCCTGGCTCACTTCAATGTCCCTGCTCCCTTCTTGTCCGTGTCTTAGGGCAAGACCCGTCCTGTCCCCTGGGCATTCCCTTCCCACAACTGAGCTTCATGGAATTCCTGAGCCTTCCCCACTGCCCTGGTTCCCACTACTACCAAAGCCCCCAGTGTCTCACCTAAGCTGAGCTACCCTGTCAGCCCGCGGTCACACACCTGAGGTCCTACAACTCAGAAGAGGCGGAGGGAGCCCTTCCAGGCAAGTGGCCACTCGACACTGACCCCTTTCTCCCATTTCAGGTGGTTGTGGCCCACCCAGCAGGAATGGGGTCAGGGCGCAATTGGGTGCGGTTTGGGGAGGGAGGGGGGCGGGTAACAGACTGAGCCACCTGAGGATTTTCTGTAGCCTCTTTAGGGATTCAGAGTTCCCTAAAGAGATCACTGTTCACTTCTCTGGCCTGGAAGCTATAAGGGACTTGTTTTCCAAAGGCCGTATTTCTAGTTTCCAGAGCGTGACCCTAACTCTTGGCAGGGACTCTCATGCAGGTGACGCACTTGGCCCTCTGCTCATAGGAGCACTCTTCTACCAGCTGCAGGGGCTTTTCCTCTCAGTTGGTCAGCAAACCAATGTAGTGGGTTGTGAACAGGCTGCTTTGTTTTCCCTTTTCCTTCCTTTTTTTTTTTTCCTAGATGTGATCTCACCATCACCCAGGCTGGAGTGCAGTGGTGCAATAGCTTACTGCAGCCTTGAACTCACAGGCTCGAGCAATCTTCCTGCCTCATCCTCCTAAGTCCTGGGACCATAGGCACATGCCACCATGCCCTGCTAATATTTTTAAGTTTTTGTAGAGATGGCGTCTCGTCAGCCATAATCAAGCCCCCTCTCCAGGGCCATGGCACACAAGCTGGTCCCGGCAGGCAGGCTGGCTGCTTCACCTCCCCACTCCCATTGCCACACAACTCACTCCTGGGACAGTGTGCCTCCCCCACACTGAGACATGGAGTCGCTGTCCCAGAGCCGTACCTGGCTGCTAGGTGTCCAAGCCACTTCTCTGGACTTGGAAGGAAATGGGGACACTGTCTCAGGTTGGAACCTGTAAGGGGCTGACTTGTGTCCCCACAAATTCACAGGTTGAAGCCTGAACTCTCAGGACCTCAGAATGTGACTGTGTTTGGAGATAGCATCTTTAAGGAGGGAGTTGAGGTCACTGGGGTGGGCTCTAATCCAGTCTGACTGGTGTCTTTATAGAAGGAGATGATTAGGACACAGACATGCATAGAGAGATGATGCTGTGAGGACACTGGGAGGAGACAGCATCTTCAGGTCCAGGAGAGAGGCTCAGGAGGAACCAGGCCTGCCCACACCTTGGCCTCAGCCACCCAACCTCTAGGACTAGGAGACTGGGGAGCTAACAGCCCTTTCCTGTTGGCTGCCTCTTCCCCAAGCTCAGCCCCCGCTGCCCATGCCTGTCAGAGCTCACATCCCCCCGTGCCTGCCAAGCCCACCAGCTCACCTGCAGCATCTGGAGGGGCCCATGTGTGCTCCGCTCCTCCAGCTGCAGCAGCAGCAGCTCCAGGGAGTGACCCTGCTGGTCCAGGCAGGCCACGCTCTCCCGGAGTCTGCTGGCAGTCTCCTCCTCTTCCCTCTCCAGAGCCTGGAGAAGCCTCTGCTCTTCCTCCACCAGGTAGAGGTTCATCTTCTCAAACTCCAGCACAATACGTTCTCTCCGCTCCTTCACCTTGCCCTGCAGGGTGGAGAAGCCCAGCATGTCGCCAGCAGGTGGCTCGGCTCCAGGGATGCTGGCACCTCTCCCCAGGGCCCTGGTGACCCACAGATCACCAGCAACCTGAGCTTTAGTTGGGGACCAGGAACTGTGACAGAGGCCGCCACCCCTGCTATCCTGTGATACACTGAGTGTAACCCTCTGAGCCCCAAACTGCAACTTTCACACATCCAAACACCCATGCACCCTTGCTCTGAGGAGGTTCAGAATGTTCACCCCCAAATAAGCCTCTTGGGCATGTTAAACAAAATTTATGGGTGGCCATTGTTTTTTGTTTTGTTTGAGACAGGGTCTCGCTCAGTTGCCCAGGCTGGAGTACAGTGGCACTTACTGCAACCTCAACCTCCTGGGCTCAAGTCATCTGAGTAACTGGGACCACAGGCATGCACCACCACATCCAGCTAGTTTTTAAATTTTGTGTAGGGACAGGGTCTTGCTCTGTTGCCTAGGCTGGAGTGCAGTGGCACAACCACAACTCACTGCAACTTTGACCTCCTGGCCTCAAGTGACCCTCCCACCTTAGCCTTCCAAGTAAGTGGGACTACAGACATGTGTCACTACCACCATGCCCAGCTAATTTTTAATTTTTTTTTAGAGACAGGGTCTTGTTATGTTGCCCAGGTTAGGGTTCAGTGGCATGATCATGGTTCACTGCTGTCTCGGACTCCTGGGCTCAAGTGATCCTCAGGGGCCACTGTTTTGAACTGGGCTCCTGTGCTGGGTCCCAGAAGACCAGACCCAACCAGAATGGAGTCACTGGTGCTAATGAAACCAAGGGGTTCATTGATCAGGTCAGCCTGCCCTGATTGCTTTTTGTTATTTTATTTTTCCTATTTCTATGAAGCTGAAGGCCGTGCCTCTGAATGCTGACCAACCTTCACTGGCTGCTTTATAGATAATATTCATAGGTCACCATGGGACTGGTCACTTCAGGAACATGGGGCAGCTCCTGTCCAGCTGAAACTGGTTGAGACCATCTGCCCTTCAAGTGGACCGGCCCCAGTGCCCGAGGTGGCCTTTTGATGTCAGAGGGCCAAAACTTCCAACCTCAGATCATGCTAAGGCTGCCATTTCTGGTACCTGTGTCCTGTGAAATGCCATGCACCCCAGAGACACCTGCACAGAATGGGCCTGCTGGACCACCCTGCCTCCCTAGCTCATAAAGACTCCTAAGCTGTATCACTCGGGAGGCGAGTTTAAGAGCTGTTCTCCCTCCTCACTCGGTGGCCTTACAAATAAATCTTTCCTCTTAGCTGGATGCAGTTGCTCACACCTGTAATCCCAGTGCTTTGGGAGGCTGAAGCAGGAAGATAGTTTGAGCTCAGGAGTTCAAGGCCAGCCTGGGCAATAGCAAGACCATGTCTCTACAAAAAAAAAAAAAAAAAAAAAAAAGGCCAATCTTGGTGGCAAGTGCCTGTAGTCCCAGCTACCCAGGAAGTTGAAGCAGGAGGATTACTTGAGTCCAGGAGTTTGAGGCTGCAGTGAGCAATGATCGCATCACTGCACTCCACATCTCTAAATCTGTTTTGATTTTGTATTTTGACAGGCATTAGGATTAGGGTGAACTAAAGGCCATTGAGAACCCGCAGAAGCAGGAAAACCTGTTTGCCTCCCCCATTAGCTGCCTAAAAAAATAAAGTGCCTGGCCTGGCGCGATGGCTCATGCCTGTAATCCCAGCACTTTGGGAGGCCGAGGCAGTCAGATCACCTGAGGTCAGGAGTTCAAGACCAGCCTGACCAGCATGGTGAAACCCTGTCTCTACTAAAAATATGAAAGTTAGTCGGGCATGGTGGCGGGCACCTGTAGTCCCAGCTGCTTGGGAGGCTGAGGTAGGAGAACTGCTTGGACCTGGGAGGCAGAGGTTGCAGTGAGCCAACACCACACCATTGCACTCTAGCCTGGGCAACAAGAGTGAAACTCCATCTCAAAAAAATAAAAATAAAAAAGTGCCCTTTCATGAAGGAAATTTGCAGTGGTCAGGGCATCTACATCAGGAAGAGATTCCCAAAAACAACTCTTCACCTGAGACACTTGCTTAAATACTTAACCAACATTATCTGCCTCCCCAGCCCAGAGGCTCCAAGCCCTGTTCTTTTGTGGTGCCGACCGATGCCCCTACCCTCTGGCTGCCTCCTGAGCCCCCACCCTCTGGCTGCCTCCTTTGTGGTACTGAGCCCCCACCCTCTGGCTGCCTCTTTAAGTCTGATTTTTGAGGTCCCTTCTCCCCACCCTATGTGTGCATCTGTAATTTAAAATTGCCTTTTTATCTTTTTCTCTGCTGTTCATCTGTCTTAAGTCAGTTTCATTCTGAGGCCAGCCATAGAACCTAGAAGGGTGGAGGCAGCTTTTTTCTTTTCCTGCCACTGAGGCAGCATATCCCCACAGGCAGACACAGACATGTAAACGCAGGAAGATGGAGCAGCAGCAGGAAAGGGACTGGACGGCCCCAGACACCCACCTGCCACTCGGCTAAGCTCTGTTCCTCCCTGGCCTGCAGATTCCCTGTCCTGGTGATCTGCTCCCGAAGGTACTCCATGTCCTCCTCCAGCTTCAACTGTGGAACACACAAACCGCAGGATTTGGGATCAGTGATCTGCCCACCTTCTGCCTACAGTACAGTTGTGCTTGCTGAAACTGCACCCACCCCAGAGACCCTCCTCAGAAGGGGCAGGGGATCAAAATACATCACCCAGAATGCGCCACCTTGGATTATTTTGAGCTAAAAGCACTTAAAAAAGGGCAGGTGTAAGAATTGCTGTGATCCTCGGCCTTCCAAAGAGCAGAAGGCACAGCCCACCATGCCGGATAGGCCTGCCCTAGGCCAGGAGGAAAGCCATGTTCTTACCAAGGGCAGGAAAGCTGAAACCAGAGAAATCTGTGCAAAGGGACCCTGCTAAGCTAACCCTCATCCTCCTCAGGTATGTGTTTGGCTCTAACATGCTTCCATGGGCCTCCAGCTCCTCAGGAGGGACTCCTGGGTCATGGAAAGCTTATAGGGAATGAAATTCAGTGCTTTGCTTCTGCTCATCTGTCTCAAATCAGTTTGGTTCTCAGAGCCACCCAAAATACTATAAGAGAGGAGAGGTAAGATTTTGCAATGCCTGCATCATACAGTGTAGGCCCACATTGTCCCCACAGACACTCCCCAGCCCCAGGCCACCTTGTTACCTGGACGCCCCCTCCCCAGCCCCTGACTTGGGCCACTTTGTCCCTGGACACCTTCTCCTTCCCCCATGATCTGGGTCACCTTGACCCCTGGATGCCTCCTCTCCTTGACCTGTGGCCCACCTTGTACCCCTGCACTGCCTCCTCGGCGGGCAGCACCCTGTGCAGTCGGTGCTCCCGGGACTCCCTGCACACCACACAGATGGGGCTCTGGTCCTCCTGGCAGAAAAGCTTGAGGGGCTCCTGGTGCTCCTGGCACAGGTCTTGCTTCTGCAGGCCAGGATGCTGCCGTGCCATCTCGGCCACCTTGGTCAGCAGCCGGTTGGGCAGCAGGTTCCTCTGCGGGGACATTGCTCTGCACTCGGGGCAGGGGAAGGAGCCCTTTCGCTTCCGCCTCCCCTTCTTGCCCCGCGCCTTCTCCCAGCTCAGCTGGATGCATGCGCGGCAGAAGTTGTGGCCACAGGCGGTCATCACAGGGTCTGTGAAGTAGTCCAGACAGATGGAGCACGTAGCTTCCTCCTGCAGCTTTCTGGCGAGTTCCACAGCCTCCATGGCTCCTGGGAGACACGAGGCGGGTTCCCAAGTTGAGGGACTGTGGAGAGAGGTGGGAGGGAGCGGCCCGATGCTCTGGGTGCTGGCAGTGTGCAACCTTCCTGTACAGCCTGCCTTTACAGAGGAGGGCTAGGACTGCGGTCCAGTTAGAGGGTCCAGAGTCATTTTTTAGCCTTGTCAATAACCAACACCGATGCCTCCCCAGAAACTACACAGACCCTCCCTGACCAATGCTTGCCAGGCCCCTCTGCCTTTCCTCTCCACTGGGCCTGGACCACTTCTGCCTGCTGCTGGCTACCCCCAGCTCCACATCTGATCAGTTCCTCCTCTAGGTCTTCAACCTGCCTTTCTGGAGCAGCCTGCTAGGTCAGCTTAGGGAGAAGCCCCTACCCTTGGAGCCTTCCCTTAATCACTTTCCAACCACTAACCACCCCCAGATCCCCGCTCCCATTCCCGCATACATCCCCAGCGGGCTTTGCTGGCCAACACTCCCATTGCAAGTAACCTGACTAAAGAGCCTTTAAAGCGTCAGAAGAATTTTTTCTTTAACAAAACCCCGTTCACCAAAGGAAAACGGGATGGGCTCTCAGAGGAAAGAAGCTCTCTTCCTTTTAGTGAGGTGGGGTTCAGAAAAAACATGTGTGCATACACGTGCCCACACGCACAAACACGTGCATACATGCACAGACTAACACACACCCATACACATACCCATGCATGTATACAAACGTGCATGTGTACACACGCACACCCACGCATACACACCACACAAATACACACGTACAAACATACAGAAACGCGCATCCACAGAAACACGCATCCACAAACAGCACACACAGGCACAGATGCACATATCTGTACACATGCATGCATGTACACACAGGTACGCGCGCGTACCCACGCACAGGCACACAAGCGTGCACACAGACGCCCCCTGCAATTTGAACACTCGCGACCCCGGGCAATGGAGAGTCACAGCCTTCCGCCTACGCCACGGGGTTGCTATGGGGACCCAGTGGCAAAGGGAATTGAAAATCGCGTCTACACTGCAAACACGAGTCTCCCCTTCCCTTCTGCCATCCCCTAAAGCGAAGGTGTCTAGGGGTCTCAGACTTCCCCGGCTCTGTCCCACTTCCATTTTCTTGGAGCTTTCTGCACGCCAACCACCCGGCGCCGGCCCCCTCCTTCCCCCCAAGAGCCCTAACTGAGGCACCCAGTCCACCCGCACCGAAGCCGGGCAGGGGCAGCGGCAGGGGACGTGGGGCTCTGGCTCTGGCTGCGGGGATGGCCATCCTTCCCGCTCTGGTCCGCTAGGGTCCCGGTAGAGTTACTTTGTCCAAGCGCGCTAGCCCCTGTAGGGACGCAGCGGCCGACTGAGGCGGGAAGGCCGGGCGTTGGAGGGCGAGGAGGACCGGGTTAGGCTTAGGTCGTGGCCCAGGCACCACAGGAGGGTGGCCTAGGCGGGGGTACTCACCGCGGGAGGGCCCTGCACAGCGCCTAGCGCACCCGGCCGAGCGCTCTGCCCCCACGAAGTCCAGGGGGCCACGGCCGGGCCCGGGGCGTGGGGGCGTGGGGGCGTGGGGTCGGGCGGTCCAGGGGCTTTGTGGCGTCAGCCGTGGGGCGGTGGGAGCCGGGGAAGGGGAGTGCTGGGCGAGGGAGAGAGCGTCGGCCGGGATGGGGGCGGCGCCTCTTAGGAGAGGTTGGGTGTGACTTGGGGAAGGAAGGTGGCAGGGGGTGGGAGGCTCAGAACGGGCCAGGGGAGGGCGCAGCGGGGAGCTTACTGGGCGGTGGGGAGGATGTGGTTCACAGCCCAGCGAAGGGAGGAGTCTTGTTGGCCTGGGGTGGGATTTTTAGGGGAGGTTAAGGGAGTGTGGAGGGGGATGGGAGTTGGGGGGTTACTTGGGGGTTAGGAGTGGAATGGGGACAGCTGGTGGGGCAAGGGGCAGCCATGCGAGCGTCAGGGTCCGGGGAGTGGGATTGGAAGAGGCTTCTCAACCAGAGGTTGAGGCTGCGGGAGGGCTCACGAGCCCCAGGCTGGAGGGTTAGGTGGGGGCTAAGTTGGTCGGGGTAGGGGATGGAGAGGAGTTTGTGGGGGCTGGGGTGGGGGCGAGGCAGCGGGAGTGAGTGCCGGTTGAGAAGCTATGAAGGGGGTCCCCAGGAGCAACCAGCCCCCAGGTCTGCCCACATGGTGGGCAGTCAGCATCAAGCTGAGGGTCCAGAGAGGGGCGTCCCAATCCTGTGGGCGGAGCGGTTTGGAGAGACCACCTGGCAGATCAGGTCACCTGGGGTGAGGGGGAACAGGGTGGGTCTTGCTGACACCCCAGGTGGTTTTGTTACCAGAAACAGGTCCTGATCCAGACCCTGAGAGAGGGTTTTGGATCTTAGGCAAGAAAGAATTCGGGGCAAATCCATAGAGTAAAGTGAAAGCAAGTTTATTAAGAAAATAAAGGAATAAAGAGTGGCTACTCCATGGGCAGACCAGCCCGGAGGGCTGCAGGTTGCCCATTTTTATGGCTATTTATTGATTATATGCTAAATAAGGGGTGGGATATTCATGGGTTTCCCAGGAAAAGGATGGGCAATTCCAGAAACTGAGGGTTCCTCCCCTTGTTAGACCATATAGGGTAAGTGTGACCTTGTCTTGGCATCTGTAAACTGTTGTGGCACTGGTGAGGGTATCTCTTAGCATGCTCATGTATTATAATTAGCGTATAATGAGCAGTCGTGATGACCAGAGGTTATTCTGGTCGCCATCTTGGTTTTGCCGGCCTCTTCACCACATGCTGGTTCATCAGCAAGGTCTTTATGATGTGTATCTTGTGCCAACCTCCTATCCCATCCTGTGACTTGGAATATCTAACTTCTGGGGAATGCAGCCCAGCAGCTCTCAGCCTTATCTTACCCAGCCTCTATACAAGACGGAGTCGCTCTGGTTTAAAAGTCTCTTACTGTTTCAGCCAAAATGCCGCCCCCAGCCCTGCCCAGGTCCTGGATGGTGGCCATTTCTTCTGGCCTTGAGTCCCCATGCCTAGTCATGATGCTTCATCCTCCAGTAGAGGGATGCACCTTTCACATGTAGGGTTCATTTCCTGCTTTCAGGAAAAGGGGCCAGAGGCCTGTGTGCCCCAAGTCAGAGTCTTGGGATTGGGGAGCGAGAACAGATGAAGAAACTAAGGCTTGGCCCACACAGGGGATGCAGGCGGACAGGAAAACAGGGCCTTGAAGGCTAAGAGGCACCGTTCTGTAGTCTCCTGGGTGTGCGGGTGTAGGCAGCTGGCCACAGGCATAGATGGCTGGCTTTCCCTGGGCTCACTTGGTAGAGTGTTTCTTCCGTGGTCTCTCATCACTCGCATACAGAAAGGTGTCTGTGTGCTGACAGGTGCGGGCTGGCTGTGCACACTGGGTGATTAAGTGAATTACCCTTGTGAACCCCGAATATCTGAGACTAGTTTCAATTAGGAAGTTTATTTTGCCGAAGTTAAGGACGCACGCCCATGACACAGCCATGTGCCCAAGGTGGTCCGAGCACAGCTTGGTTTTATACATTTTAGGGAGACATGAGACATCGATCAATATATGTAAGATGAACATTGGTTCCATCCAGAAAGGCGGGACAACTGGAAGTGGGGAGGGGGCTTCTAGGTCATAGGTAGATAAGACACAAATGGTTGCATTCTTTTGAGTTTCTGATTAGCCTTTCCAAAAGAGGCCATCAGATACACATTTATTTCAGTGAGCGGAGGAATGACTTTGAATAGAATGGGAGGCAGGTTTGCTCTAAGCTGTTCCCAGCGTGACTTTTCCTTTTAGCTAGTGATTTTGGGGCCCAAGATTTATTCTCCTTTCACACTCTCCAGCCCTACCCAATCCTCTGCCTGTCATTTGCATCAGTGAGGGGATTGTGAGCTGCAAGTTTCCTTCAATTGGGAAAACGGAATCACAGAATTAGGGGGAAAATTGAAAAAAAAAAAAAAAAATATATATATATATATCTCGCATAGCACCACACATGCCCTAGTCACCTGCTGACAATTTGTCACCCTTCGTTACAAATGGGTTACAAGCAGCTGAGCCTAACAACTTCTTTGGGTTTTCACTTCTTTCCTGTACACCCCATGCACATAAAAATATTAAGATCAATACAATGTGGATGCCTTTCTCCTGTCTGTCTTTGGTCAGTTTAATTCACAGGCTCCCCCCTATACCAGCATGATGTGGGGGAATTCAACAAATACTTGTTAAAATGTGGCATCAGCCCAAGATGCTCATTATTAATGCTCCTTTAGGCTCACCTGGTTATTGGGGTGAGAAATCTATCATCATGATAAAACAATTGGAACAACCTTCATATCCTCAAGTCATTAAGAAAAAAATCAGATAGCAGTTGCGTGTCTTGATAAATTGTTAGGTTTAATAAAAGGCAGGATGTAGAATATATGTAGTTTGCTACTATTTAGGTAAACAATTATTGTATATGTATCTCTTGAAAAACAAGAAACTCCATCTGATGAGGGAAATTAAGGACTGAGGAACCCCCTAATTGAGGGAGACTCAATTTTCACTATATATCCTTTTGGAATTCTTAAATTGTATACTACTGCTGTGGATTGTCTTTTTTTTTTTTTTTTTTTAATTATTTAAGCAAAGGATCAGCAATGTCAGTCTTTAAACACAAGTCTTACTTACACTGTTACAAGGTAAATATCCTTTGCCCTTATTGAATGTAGCCCCACTAAGTTATTAACATTGTAGAAAAGATTAGAGAGCAAAATTTAAGTGCTCATGTAATTTAAAATGTGCTGAATTAAACAGAAAAGAAGAGGGGCTCCTGAAAATAGGGTGAGAGAGCTATGGCCTCTTTATGTCTTCAATTCAGACTCCTCAACAGTAGAGTCCACTGGGCCACAAAAAAACAAATCCAGATTGTTATGAACTGAATGTTTGTCTCCAAAATTCATATTTTGAAATCCTCACCTCCAAGGTGATGGTGTTAGGAGATGGGGTTCTTTGGAAAGTAATTATGCCATAAGGGTGGAGCCTTCATGAATAGGATTGGTGCCCTTCCAGAGATTTATTTTCCCCTTACCCCTTGCACCACATGAGGACACAGTGAGAAGGCCCTGTTTGTGAACCAGAAAGCAGGATCTCACCAGAAGCTGAATCTGTTGGCACCTTGACCTTGGACTTGCCAGCCACCAGATCTGTGAACAATAAAGTCCTGTCACTTATTAACCACCAAGCCCATAGCATTTTGTTATAGCAGCCTGCATAGACTAAAATGAAAGAAGACAGATTAACGGGAGAAAGCATATACGTTTTACTTTTACATGTACATGGGAGCCTTCACAGCAAAATGAAGACCTCAAGAGCAGTTAGGCCTAAGTGCTTATCCACTGGATGGACAAAGGGTAGTAATTATGAGAAAGCAACTGGAATACCCAGGGAGGCTGGAGGAAGGTAAGAGCTATTTTTGTTTGTTTGTTTGAGGCAGAGTCTCACTCTGTCACCCAGCCTGGAGTGCAGTGGTGTGATCGTGGCTCACTGTAACCTCCACCTCCTGGGTTCAAGCAATTCTTCTGCCTCAGCCTCCCAAGTAGCTGGGACTACAGGTACACACCACCACACCCAGCTGAATTTTTTTTTTTTTTTAAGTAGATATGGGGTTTTATGTTGGCCAGGCTGGTCTGGAACTCCTAACCTCAGGTGATCTGCCTGCCTTGGCCTCCCAAAGTGCTGGGATTACAGGCGTAAGCCACTCTACTCGGTGATAAGAGCTATTTTAACAAAGCCTGTTTGTACACATTTCACTGCACTTCAGTCCCCATGCCTAGTCATGCTGTTTCTCCCCCTGGTAGAGGCAAGCACCTTTCCCATGGAGGGTTCATCACCTGCTTTCAGGAAGAGGGGCCAGAGGGCCCTTCTTACACCTACTGCTCTTCAAGTGCCTTCAGCTCAAAATAATTCTTATATCAAATCTGCATATTTTGGGGAGGTATATTCTGCTATCTTGTTGGGAGCCGAAAATCTGAGGGTCGTGACCAACTCAGCACTCCACTGGAAGCTATATGATTAAACAGCAAACTGTTTATCATGAATGCAGGATGTGGGCAAACTCGCATCTGTGTCTGCCGCCAGAAGGTACACTGAGGGCCTCATTCCCTGGCTCTGTGCCCCTTGAGGTTATCTTCTGGGACATCTGGAGCCTACTGTTCAAAGAATGTAGTCATGCAGGCCTGCACTAAGTCAAGCAGCTGACTACAACCACCCCCTTCTCCCTATCTCCTTTACTCAATAAATATGAAGGGCTCTAGCAGCTCAGGACCCTTGTTCACTAGAAGCAAGGAGCCCCCTGACCCCTTTATCCAAATATACTCTTTTGTCTTTGTCTTTATTCCCACATTTGTCCGCCTTTGTTCAATCCACCAAGGTCTGCGGCACTATCTCTTAATGCCTAACTCTCCTTTCTGTTGTTTATTTCTGGAATTTTAACCTTTGGATATTTAGAACCACTCATTCCACTTTTATAGACTGCATGCTTAGGCTGTCTCCATAGTGTATATGCTCTCGAAGAGTTGAGTACATGGTGAACAGATACCACATTTCAGTTACTATCCCACATCATTAGGACTCGCAGGATACAGAAGCAAAGGTGTTGATTGTAATTGTAAGGGTCTGGCTTTGTTGCCCAGAATGGAGTGCAGTGGTGTGATCACTGCTTACTGCTCACTGTAACTTGGAACTCTTGGGCTCAAGCGATCTTCCCACCTCAGCCTTCTAAGTAGTTAGGACCACAGGCACATGCCATCATGCCCAGCTAATTTTTATATTTTTTATAGAGACAGAGTCTTGCCATGTTGTCCAGGCTGGTCTTGAACTCCTTGGCCTCAAGAAATCCTCCCATCTCAGCCTCCCAAAAAGCTGGAATTACATGCATGAACCACCATGCCTGGCTGGAGAGGCTTCCTCAAATACCCACTTACACAACCCAGAAAGACTTCGGTTACTTTCTTCCTGTGTCTAAACTTCTTTCCTTAGCTCCTCACCTTAGGTCCTCAGCAGTCAGTTCTGACGTACAAATTGCCCTGTGTTGCCTTGTTATATCTTTACAGGGCATCAATTCGTGCACTATCCACTCCATTAAACAGTGAAAACAAGGAACATATAAGACCAAGCTCTTGTTTTTTGTTGTTGTTTTTTTGTTTTGTTTTGTTCTTTGTTTTGTTTTGTTGTTGTTGTTTTTGACAGGGTCTGTTGCCCAGATTGGCCTCAAAAACTCCTGGGCTCAAGCCATCCTCTTGCCTCCCCAGTAGCTAGGATTACAGGCATGTGCCACACTGCCAAACTTAGACTCTGTTCTCATACAAAGACCAGAATGACAGGGGGCTGCTCAAGTGGCTTGGTGTCCTACGGAAGGCAAAGCTTGATCATGATCCTGTCAAGAATGCATTATCTGCATCCAGTTACGTAAATGTAGCTAGCTGCCCAAATTACTGCTCCCTCCAGGCTGCCCAGCAAGATCATCAGCAAGGTTACATAGGTTTAGCTCTCCACCACTGGGCAAGACTTTATCAGGACAAGGGCTTTGTAAAGTATAGAAGACTTGAACTTTATCTGCTTGGGAGGCTAAGGCAGGAAGATGGCTTGAGCCCAGGAGTTCGAGGCTAGCCACTATGCTCATGTCTGTGAATAGCCACTGCACTTCAACCTGGGCAGCATGGCAAGACCCTGTCTCTGAAAAAACAAAACAAAAAGGGAAAACTTAAATTTATCCCAAAAGAGTCTAGTATTGAAAGTCAGAACTGACTTTCAAAACCAGAACACAGCTCTCCCTGAATATTCTAGGCTTTCTGGATAGCTCTCTAAGGATTTGGCACTCATAAGTTTAGATATATCCTGAGATTTAAAAGGTATGATGTTCAGTTGTGTGTGTACTAATAAATTGATGAAGCTTTTGAATTTTGAGTCTACAGGCTATAAATTGGGTTCAAAGAGACTTATAAAATCCACTGTTGCCTATTGATAGCGTTTTGCGCACACCCCTTGCTGTGTTTAAGAGCATCTTTTACTATCATTGCTTCTACACACAATACAGGCCCCCTTCACTCAAGCATAAGCACCTTGAAAGCAGAGTGGGCAGCAGCCCACTCTGGGATTGGATTTTATTCCCACAGGAAATGGATTTTATTCCCTCCATGATCCCAGCATGGGGTAGTGCTTGGCCTCATTCAGTTTAATAAAGCCTTTAACAAATAAATGATTCCAACCTGTACCAGAGGGAGACAATCCCTACATCCTTATCCTCACAGCCATCCTCAGGTTTTCCCGACATAAGTCTACTATTGGATCTGTGGCCTACTGCCCTAGCTGTAGGATTTCTCAGCAAGTTGGTCTCTGTGTCTCTCATCCCCAGAGCACTGCCAGACTACTTTGTGGCGCTGGGAAGCCTGTTTCAAAGTGCCGGGCACATGGGCCACGCCTGTCTGCGACTGCTCAGTAAGCTGACTTCCAGGGCAGAGTGCCCTCTTTGAACTTTAGGCTGGGGTTTCCCAGTATTGATTTCACTTAGGCTGAATTAACAATGCACATGCCTGGCTGCGCTTCTCACACACAACTAGCTAGTCATCTACCCTAACAGAAGATAGGGTGAATTAACAACATACATGACTAGCCAGCCTTTTAGCTGAATGGGAGATTGGGTATGTTAACACATACAATGACGTGGACTTCTAACTGGAGATGGGCCAACATCACAGCTACATATGTGTGTGCACATACACACACACACCCCTAGCCAGCCTTATAACCTAATGGGAGATAGCCCAAGTTAACAAGATATACAACTAGCCAGCTTTCTAAATTAACAGGAGGTAGGCTGAGTTAACACACACAAGTAGCTGGACTTTGTTTTTTTTTTTTTTTTTTTTTTTTTTGGTTTTGAGACTGAGTCTCGCTCCGTTGCCCATGCTGGAGTGCAGTGGCATGATCTTGGCTCACTGCAACGTCTGTCTCCTGGGTTCAAGCAGTTCTCCTGCCTCAGCCTCCCAAGTAGCTGGGATTACGGGCATGTGCCACCACACCTGGCTAATTTTTGTCTTTTTAGTAGAGATGGGGTTTCACCATGTTGGCCAGGCAGGTCTGGAACTCCTGACCTCAGGTGATCCACCCGCCTTGGCCTCCCAAAGTGCTGGGATTACAGACCTGAGCTGCCACGCTGGTGAAGTAGCTGGACTTCTAACTGAAAATAGGCCAAGATAACACATACTACTTGCTGGCCTTAACAGGCTGTCTAGGTAGAAGACTAGCTGGACTGGTAACCTCACTGGAAATAAGCTGTGTGTACACACACACACACACACACACACACACACACACACGCAGGACTTGTAACAATTTGCAAGAGGCTGAGCTGAGAACACACAAGACCAGCCAGCCTTCCAACCTAACTGTAGATAGGCTGAGTTGACACAACTAGCTGGGGTTGCTTACCTAAATGGAGATAGGCCAGTTCCGCTACCCTCAACACCCGGTCCCCAAACAGACCAACCATGATTCTTATCTAAAGGGATAGACCAAATTAGCACGACACACGACTAGCTGGACTTGTAACTGGAGACAGGCTGGGAGGTAACGCGCATGAGTAGCTGGCCTCCTAACTGGACAGGGTGAACACAGGATTCGCCAGCCTCCCACCCTAATCAGAATTAGGTAAGCCAGCACCGGCCAGCGGAAGGAACCCCCAAAACCCAAGAGCCTGGCTTGCTACAGCAACTCTTCCGACCAGGTGGGTGGCTCTTAAAAGAGCCTTTGGGGTGAACGTTGCGCAACCTCTCAGGTGGCGAGATGGCCCTCCTAGGCCTGCTCCCCACGGATACGGCGTGCCAGCTGGATGTCCTTGGGCATGATGGTGACCCGTTTGGCATGGATGGCACACAGGTTGGTGTCCTCGAACAGCCCAACCAGGTAAGACTCGCACGCCTCCTGCAGCGCCATCACGGCTGAGCTCTGGGGGCGCTGAGACTGAGTCTCGCTCCGTTGCCCAGGCTGGAGTGCAGTGGCGTGATCTTGGCTCACTGCAAGCTCCGCCTCCTGGGTTCACGCAATTCTCCTGCCTCAGCCGGCGTGCCAGCTGGATGTCCTTGGGCATGATGGTGACCCGTTTGGCATGGATGGCACACAGGTTGGTGTCCGTGTGCACATACACACACACACCCCTAGCCAGCCTTCTAACCTAATGGGAGATAGCCCAAGTTAACAAGATATACAACTAACAGGAGGTAGGCTGAGTTAACACACACAAGTAGCTGGACTTTGTTTTTTTTTTTTTTTTTTTTTTTTGGTTTTGAGACTGAGTCTCGCTCCGTTGCCCATGCTGGAGTGCAGTGGCATGATCTTGGCTCACTGCAACGTCTGTCTCCTGGGTTCAAGCAGTTCTCCTGCCTCAGCCTCCCAAGTAGCTGGGATTACGGGCATGTGCCACCACACCTGGCTAATTTTTGTCTTTTTAGTAGAGATGGGGTTTCACCATGTTGGCCAGGCAGGTCTGGAACTCCTGACCTCAGGTGATCCACCCGCCTTGGCCTCCCAAAGTGCTGGGATTACAGACCTGAGCTGCCACGCTGGTGAAGTAGCTGGACTTCTAACTGAAAATAGGCCAAGATAACACATACTACTTGCTGGCCTTAACAGGCTGTCTAGGTAGAAGACTAGCTGGACTGGTAACCTCACTGGAAATAAGCTGTGTGTACACACACACACACACACACACACACACACACACACACGCAGGACTTGTAACAATTTGAAAGAGGCTGAGCTGAGAACACACAAGACCAGCCAGCCTTCCAACCTTGTTCTTTGTTTTGTTTTGTTGTTGTTGTTTTTGACAGGGTCTGTTGCCCAGATTGGCCTCAAAAACTCCTGGGCTCAAGCCATCCTCTTGCCTCCCCAGTAGCTAGGATTACAGGCATGTGCCACACTGCCAAACTTAGACTCTGTTCTCATACAAAGACCAGAATGACAGGGGGCTGCTCAAGTGGCTTGGTGTCCTACGGAAGGCAAAGCTTGATCATGATCCTGTCAAGAATGCATTATCTGCATCCAGTTACGTAAATGTAGCTAGCTGCCCAAATTACTGCTCCCTCCAGGCTGCCCAGCAAGATCATCAGCAAGGTTACATAGGTTTAGCTCTCCACCACTGGGCAAGACTTTATCAGGACAAGGGCTTTGTAAAGTATAGAAGACTTGAACTTTATCTGCTTGGGAGGCTAAGGCAGGAAGATGGCTTGAGCCCAGGAGTTCGAGGCTAGCCACTATGCTCATGTCTGTGAATAGCCACTGCACTTCAACCTGGGCAGCATGGCAAGACCCTGTCTCTGAAAAAACAAAACAAAAAGGGAAAACTTAAATTTATCCCAAAAGAGTCTAGTATTGAAAGTCAGAACTGACTTTCAAAACCAGAACACAGCTCTCCCTGAATATTCTAGGCTTTCTGGATAGCTCTCTAAGGATTTGGCACTCATAAGTTTAAATATATCCTGAGATTTAAAAGGTATGATGTTCAGTTGTGTGTGTACTAATAAATTGATGAAGCTTTTGAATTTTGAGTCTACAGGCTATAAATTGGGTTCAAAGAGACTTATAAAATCCACTGTTGCCTATTGATAGCGTTTTGCGCACACCCCTTGCTGTGTTTAAGAGCATCTTTTACTATCATTGCTTCTACACACAATACAGGCCCCCTTCACTCAAGCATAAGCACCTTGAAAGCAGAGTGGGCAGCAGCCCACTCTGGGATTGGATTTTATTCCCACAGGAAATGGATTTTATTCCCTCCATGATCCCAGCATGGGGTAGTGCTTGGCCTCATTCAGTTTAATAAAGCCTTTAACAAATAAATGATTCCAACCTGTACCAGAGGGAGACAATCCCTACATCCTTATCCTCACAGCCATCCTCAGGTTTTCCCGACATAAGTCTACTATTGGATCTGTGGCCTACTGCCCTAGCTGTAGGATTTCTCAGCAAGTTGGTCTCTGTGTCTCTCATCCCCAGAGCACTGCCAGACTACTTTGTGGCGCTGGGAAGCCTGTTTCAAAGTGCCGGGCACATGGGCCACGCCTGTCTGCGACTGCTCAGTAAGCTGACTTCCAGGGCAGAGTGCCCTCTTTGAACTTTAGGCTGGGGTTTCCCAGTATTGATTTCACTTAGGCTGAATTAACAATGCACATGCCTGGCTGCGCTTCTCACACACAACTAGCTAGTCATCTACCCTAACAGAAGATAGGGTGAATTAACAACATACATGACTAGCCAGCCTTTTAGCTGAATGGGAGATTGGGTATGTTAACACATACAATGACGTGGACTTCTAACTGGAGATGGGCCAACATCACAGCTACATATGTGTGTGCACATACACACACACACCCCTAGCCAGCCTTATAACCTAATGGGAGATAGCCCAAGTTAACAAGATATACAACTAGCCAGCTTTCTACAGGAGGTAGGCTGAGTTAACACACACAAGTAGCTGGACTTTGTTTTTTTTTTTTTTTTTTTTTTTTTTGGTTTTGAGACTGAGTCTCGCTCCGTTGCCCATGCTGGAGTGCAGTGGCATGATCTTGGCTCACTGCAACGTCTGTCTCCTGGGTTCAAGCAGTTCTCCTGCCTCAGCCTCCCAAGTAGCTGGGATTACGGGCATGTGCCACCACACCTGGCTAATTTTTGTCTTTTTAGTAGAGATGGGGTTTCACCATGTTGGCCAGGCAGGTCTGGAACTCCTGACCTCAGGTGATCCACCCGCCTTGGCCTCCCAAAGTGCTGGGATTACAGACCTGAGCTGCCACGCTGGTGAAGTAGCTGGACTTCTAACTGAAAATAGGCCAAGATAACACATACTACTTGCTGGCCTTAACAGGCTGTCTAGGTAGAAGACTAGCTGGACTGGTAACCTCACTGGAAATAAGCTGTGTGTACACACACACACACACACACACACACACACACACACGCAGGACTTGTAACAATTTGCAAGAGGCTGAGCTGAGAACACACAAGACCAGCCAGCCTTCCAACCTAACTGTAGATAGGCTGAGTTGACACAACTAGCTGGGGTTGCTTACCTAAATGGAGATAGGCCAGTTCCGCTACCCTCAACACCCGGTCCCCAAACAGACCAACCATGATTCTTATCTAAAGGGATAGACCAAATTAGCACGACACACGACTAGCTGGACTTGTAACTGGAGACAGGCTGGGAGGTAACGCGCATGAGTAGCTGGCCTCCTAACTGGACAGGGTGAACACAGGATTCGCCAGCCTCCCACCCTAATCAGAATTAGGTAAGCCAGCACCGGCCAGCGGAAGGAACCCCCAAAACCCAAGAGCCTGGCTTGCTACAGCAACTCTTCCGACCAGGTGGGTGGCTCTTAAAAGAGCCTTTGGGGTGAACGTTGCGCAACCTCTCAGGTGGCGAGATGGCCCTCCTAGGCCTGCTCCCCACGGATACGGCGTGCCAGCTGGATGTCCTTGGGCATGATGGTGACCCGTTTGGCATGGATGGCACACAGGTTGGTGTCCTCGAACAGCCCAACCAGGTAAGACTCGCACGCCTCCTGCAGCGCCATCACGGCTGAGCTCTGGAAGCGCAGGTCGGTCTTAAAGTCCTGAGCGATCTCGCGCACCAGCCGCTGGAAGGGCAGCTTGCGGATTAGCAGCTCAGTGGACTTCTGGTAGCGGCGGATCTCGCGAAGCGCCACCGTGCCAGGCCGGTAGCGGTGCGGCTTCTTCACACCGCCAGTGGCGGGTGCGCTCTTGCGAGCCACCTTAGCGGCCAGCTGCTTGCGTGGCACCTTGCCACCGGTCGACTTGCGCGCAGTCTGCTTGGTTCGGGCCATGAATTTGAAACTGTTGTCTCTGCTGTGTCCTGTGACCAGACCTCAGCTGATTGCCCGCTTTTATAGAGCTTGCCGCGTTTTCATTGGCTGGCCTCAGGTGGCGTGATGGCCCCCTACTCTCTGATTGGTCCACAGGGCACGCCACTCGGCCGCCTCTCCCTTATATTAGTGCCTGTTGGTTGTGGCCACCAGAGCTAGCACCAGCATTGTGAAGGGTTGATGCGGGTAGGCCACGGCGGTGGAGATCATCTCTCTCCAGCACAAGCTTCCTCGTGTCTCCTCAGCAATCCTCTTCTCCCTTCCTCATGACTTGGGTGGGAAGAGCCTTCCGAAAGCCAGCATGCGGCATTCCACTTTTTTAAAAAATTAATTTTTAAAAAATTTTTTGAGATGGAGTTTAACTCTTGTTGCCCAGGCTGGAGTGCAATGGCGCGATCTCTGCTCACTGCAACCTCTACCTCCCAGGTTCAAGCGATTCTTCTGCCTCAGCCTACCAAGTAACTGGGATTACAGGGATTACAGGTATCCACCACAAAGAGATGGGTTTTCACCATATTGGCCAGGCTGGTCTCAAACTCCTGACCTCAGGTGATCCACCTGCCTCGGCCTCCCAAAGTGCTGGGATTACAGGCATGAGCCACCAGGCCCAGCTGGCATTCCACTTTTTTTTTTTTTTTTGAGACGGAGTCTCGCTCTGTTGCCCAGGCTGGAGTGCAGTGGCGCAATCCCGGTTCACTGCAAGCTCCGCCTCCAGGGTTCACGCAATTCTCCTGCCTCAGCCTCCCAAATAGCTGGGACTACAGGCGCCCGCCACCACACCCGGCTAATTTTGTTTTGTATTTTTAGTAGAGACAGGGTTTCACCATGTTAGCCAGGATGATCTCGATCTCCTGACCTCGTGATCCACCTGCCTCAGCCTCCCAAAATGCTGGGATTACAGGCGTGAGCCACCGCGCCCAGCCGGCATTCCACTTTTACACAGTGATACAGCTCTGGGATCCAGCCAGAGTTAAAGGAATCTTCCACTTTTTATGACCTGCAAAGAACTCCCTTTGCTGTATGGCTCAAATGAGCCTTAGGATGCTGAAGAAGGTAAAGATATGCCTTTCTGGCATATTAACTCTTTTGAGATAAAGGCACTTAAAAAAAAAAAAAAAAGAAAGAGGCAGGCGTAGGAAGATCATTCTGAATTTCTTGTTGTTTCTTAAAGGCAAGAAATAGAATTCCCCTATGAAAGATGTTCTCCTTATAGTAAAAGGAAGGGAACGTTCTTATCATCAAGGACCAGAAGGTGGAAGCTTCCAAATCTCCTCCAACTCTGAAGCTGAAATTTGATCCCTAAAGTTGGAGCCGGGGCTCAGTGGGAGGTGTGTGGGTCCTGGAGGTGTCACCCTCTGAATAGAGTCCTGCCCTCCTTTAGGGTGAGTTCTCACTCTGTTGGTTCCCTGAAGAGCTGGTTGTTGAAAAGAGCCTGGCACTCCCCTCCCCTCTCTCTCTGGCTTCCTCTCTTGTGCAGTCCTGTGACCTCTGCACACACATGGGTTCCCCTTCACCTTCCACCATGAGCAGAAGCAGCCAGAGGCCCTCACCAGAAGCAGAGGTGGGCCCTATACTTGCTTCCTTCCATTCTCCCTCCCTCCCTTCCTTTCTCTCTCCCTCCCTCCCTCCTTCGCTCCCTTTCTTCCTTCCTTCCTTTCTTTTTATCTTCTTCCCTCCCCTCCCCTCCTCTCCTTCTTTTTTCAGTCTTGCTCTGTTGCCCAGGCCCCTCCTACCTCAGCCTCCCAAGTAGCTGGGACCACATCCAGCTAATTTTTAAATTTTTTGTAGAGATGGGCTGTCATTATGTTGACCAAGCTGGTCTTGAATTCCTGAGTTCAACTGATCCCCCGACCTTGGCCTCCCAAAGTGCTAGGATTACAGGCTTGAGCCACCATGCTGGGCCACCATGCTTTTTTTGTTTTTTTGACCTGAGTCTCACCCTGTTGCCCAGGCTGGAGTGCAGTGGCGTGATCTCAGCCCACTGCAACATCCGCCTCCCGGGAAGTTCAAGCAACTCTCCTGCCTCAGCCTCCCGAGTAGCTGGGATTACAGGCGTGAGCCACTGCACCCAGCCACCATGCTTCTTGTACAGCCTGGGAAACCATAAGCCAATACCTTTTTTTTTTCCCCAATAAATCATCCAGCCTCAGGTATTCCTTTAACAACACGAAACAGACTAAGACAGAAGCCAAGAGAAATCTATACAAACAAACTTTATTAAACTAACCCTTATCTTCCTAGTTGTTGCCACAGTTACTACTCTTTGTTCAACCTAGTGTGTAAGCATTTTGACCTAGTCATTTCTTCACCCCATTGACTATCCTCACCCAAGCCCCGTGGCCTTATCAAATCTCACAACTTACTAGTGTTTGTCCACCTCTGTATATAAGTGACCCTAACTGCATCTTTGCATCTTCATTTCCTTATGAGGGCTCCTGTGTCACATTAAATTTGTATTAAATAACTGTATGTTTTTCTCCTGCTCATCTCTCTAATGTCAGTCTAATTCTTGGGCCCAGCCTGGACCCTAAGATAAGGGAGGTAGAATTCTGCCTCCCCTACAGCGCCCCTTGTTGATGCATGACAGGCCCACTGTCTTGGTCTGTTTTGCATTGCTGTAAAGGAATACCAGAGGCTAGGTTATTTATCAAAACATTTTTTAGCTTATGGTTCTGCAGGCTCTATAAGAAGCAAGGCTCCAGCATCTGCTTCTGATGTGGCCCTCAGGAATCCTCCACTCATGATGGAAGATGAAGGGGAGCCCCTGTGTGCAGAGGTCACAGGGAAAGAGAGAGGAGGAGGTACTGGGCTCTTTTTAACAACCAGCTTTGGCAGGAACTAATAGAGCAAGAACTCCACTCCCCACGAGGGAGGGCAGGAGTCTATTCATGAAGGATCTGCCCCCAGGACCTAAGCACCTCCCACCAGGTTGCACCTCCAACACTGGAGATTAAATTTCAACATGAGAATTAATGAGACAAATACCTTATTCAAACTATAGCACCCACTACATTGCCATCTTTGTCTTATCAATTACTACCTGAACCCCTTGTCCCCATGGGTCAATCCACACAAGGTGCTTGTTTGCCCAGCCTTGGTTCAGCTTCTCCCCTCCCCCAGGGCCCTGATGTTTGGCCCCTCCTGGAGCAGGCCAGGCTCAGGGTAAAGTATCCTCAATCTCTTGTCCCCTCAGCCACCCTTCACCCCACTTCCCCAGACCTGGTTCTTTCCAGCCTCATTCATTCCTCCCTATATGAGAAAACTCCTCTGCGTCACCTTTGAGAGCTTGCAGACCTTAAGGTCAATGCTTTCTCCCTATTGCAGTATTCTGGTGTCTCTTGTTGCGATATCCTTTTGCATAAAGATCTCTGCTTACTAAGTCTGGATTGGTTTTTTTATTGGACAGTGGTTTTTACACAGAAGGCCTGCTGCTCTCTGCTCATCGGATCTGGTTGGCTGGTCAGACATGTGGAAGGACCCTAGGACCATCCACCTGTGAAGTCCACCCAGGCTTACCCCTGGTGTAAACGATGTGGGGTCTGACCTGGCCAGACCAGATGCTGCTCAACCGTTTAACTGCCTGTGAGGATTTGGACACGTTCGATCTTCCTGGAGCTGTCTCTCACTCGAGAGGGGCAGCCTTGGGACTCTCCAGGTGTCCTTAGGGCTAATGGGGCTGATGATGGGCGGATGATGGATTACCAGCAGCTGCTGCGACCTCCCCAGGAGCACCTGCAGCGACCTCCGCAGGAGCACCTGCAAAGCAGCCCTTTCTGCCTCATGACTCTGCCCAGGCCTCTCTGCGGAGCGTGGCACAGGCTTGGCCAGTTCTCTGAGTGCATCCAAGAGGCTCATAGGTTTTAGGCATATGTCTGCGACCTCACTTTTCCAGTCATAAGGGCTTTTGCCTTTAGATTCTCAGGGACTTTGAGCCCCCAAACCACCCAGACATAGCACAGGATGCCACCTGGTTCTATGTGTCTGAGCAAACAAATGCACACTCACACGAAGCACAGAATGCAGGGCTGCCTAAATGCGGACCCACCCACCCCTGGCAAGGCTTGAGAAGAGCCTCTATATTACATGTAAAAGCACTTTTTAGATGATCAGCTGAACAGTTCATTTTCTTGATCTCCAATCATTGTGTTCTATGTTGTTAAAACCCCCAGAAGGACCAAGACCCAGAGAAAAATGTCCCCTGAAAACTTCCCAAGAGGAGAGATTTCCTCTGCAAACTGAAGAAAGTGTGAGATATAAACATTCCTCCCAAGGAACTGGTCTGTCAAGGCCTCACGCATTCGGTAAATCAGTGTGTGTTCTCTGTCTCCTCATTCTCTCTGCTCATGGTTTTGTATGTACAGCTGAGGCAATAATGGGCCTTGTGTCCTCTTGTTAAAGTTCTTTGAGATTTGGGGGTCCTACATGGTTGGTCATGTTGCATCATCTCTAGGAGCACTCCTATCAGCAAACAACATGCTATTGCTTGTCCAATTTATCAATTGGCATTTCTCCTTAGTCTGGGCAGCAGCAAGGCTGAAACCATCTGAACTTTCACAAACTCACTGTAAGCGCAGAGAGGGGGTCTTACAGGAACAGGCACTCCTTCTAGGTCGGGGGTAAAAAGTGCACAAAGCAATGGTGAGCTCTGTCCTCCAAAGACTCTTGCAAAGCCAGTGTGCACTAGGGTTTCCCACTGTTTGTTAGAAAGAATGCCTTCTTTCTCCATCCAATATGCCCTTCCATCTGGCACCCCACTTCTCCGGCCCACTCTGCAGGAAACTCCATCAGTAGGAAGCATTTTCTTGAATTCTGTACTTCAAATATGCTATGGAAGCAGCCACATTCCTTGTTGATGATAGTCAGGGTTAGTTTCAAAGGGTTCTAGTTGGCACAGGGATTTCTGAATCTACAAGACAAAAATGTGGAGAGAAAATAAGTTAGTATGAAAAAACAAGGGGAATAGCTGACAATACCAGCTCCTAGTGTGACTGTTGATTTTGTGCACTCGGGCTGACCCCCTCCTCCTCCTTAATGGTATAATAAACATGGTAACTACGATGGGATTCTTGATAGAAAGGAGGAAATGCAGATGAGGAATTTCATTCTTTCTGAAAGTCTGAACTATTGACACAGAGTATGCAATCTTATGTCCTCTCTTGAGTCTTAGAAATCCCAGAAAGGCTATTTGATAGAAATCAGCATCCTCACCTGGAACTGGACTAAATGGATACAGCCTGGATGAGTACAGCAAGGTAAAAGGGATGAAGTGCTCATCTCTTTTTCATGTCAGGGGAGTGCTGAAGCTCTCATATAGTAACTTTCTCCTTCTTTACACAGATTATGTGTATTTAGTAGTAACTGTGCA